AAAACGAAATGATTTTACTATATATAAAAAAAATATTTTATTATATCTAAAAAATTCAAGATATAATACATTATTTCCTCTTTGCAGAATGTTCGATGTTGGCGGTCAACGGTCTGAAAGAAAGAAATGGATACATTGCTTCGAAGGCGTCACTGCGATCATCTTCTGCGTTGCTCTGAGCGGCTATGACCTGGTATTAGCGGAGGACGAGGAGATGAATCGCATGATAGAGTCGATGAAGCTGTTCGACTCGATTTGTAATAGTAAATGGTTTGTCGAAACGTCTATCATACTGTTCCTGAATAAAAAAGATCTGTTCGAAGAAAAGATCACCAGGAGCCCACTCACTATCTGCTTCCCGGAATATAAAGGCGCCAACACCTACGAGGAGTGCGCCTCTTATATTCAGATGAAATTCGAAAATCTGAACAAAAGGAAGGATCAGAAACAAATCTACACGCACTTTACGTGCGCAACAGATACGTCCAATATACAGTTTGTGTTCGACGCCGTAACCGACGTAATAATCAAGAACAACTTGAATAATTGCGGATTACTGAGTTAAACATTCCAATACTCGATCAGTAAATTATCGAAAAAGAAGGGATATATCTTAATATGTTGACGACTCATTAATCTTCGCGAATGCATTAGAGAATGACGAAGAGACTGATCGAAAGTTTTAAGAGGAACGTGTCCGTAAATACGAATATATATTATGCGAGGATTTTATTTACATACACATACACAAACATACATTAGGCTTTTGAAATATTTTATCGTGGTATTATGCAACTCTATTTGATTCTATAGTTTTTAATGAAATATTCTTTGTAAAAAATTCTGCGTAAATTCATCCGAATTTCTAGTATAAATGTGTTACTCGATCCTTAACTTATTAATTTTACATTCGGTGATTAGACAACGAAATATTCTCACATTACGAACAAAGTATTCAATATATTTGGGAGTTAAATTGATATTTCAGTCTGATGACTGAACATTTCGCGTTGTCGCCAAGAATGTTTTTTATGCACTATTTATAAAGTAATCATTATTTTTGAAAATTATTTTTGAAATTAATTAACATATATATTGATCTGATTAAATAGATTATATTTTTAAAAGTATTTTTAAAATTCCTTATTGTTATATGTTTATTTCTTTTTGAGTTAATAAATTTTCATTATTTTTTTGTAAAAGATGATACTTGCTTTTCGTGGCCATGCGCGAAAGAAAAAAAAGAAATTCGAGGCGATAATGTTAAATATATAAAACGTATCGTTTACTTATACTCCCGATTAAGAAGATCAGAAACATTCCTTTGTTTCTGTTTTCTAAATGTAATTTAACTATACTAACTTAGATAGCTATTAATTTAGTGATATTTCCTTGTATATAATTTATTAAGCTAAAAATAATTACGTATTAAGTAAAACATATTTCTGCTCATCTATCTACTTGCATTATAATGACAAATAGAAATTAACATCATGATGGGCATCGAACACAGCTCTCTGTGCATCTTTCTTTATAGTATATATTTATCAATTTGAGAGAAAAATTTTTGTACAAGCTTCTCTTTTTTTATATACGTATTAATAAGTAATAAAACCGAGGGATGTTTTCATTCCTCGATTCGCCAAACGGACGTAACGACAACGTTAGCATTAGTACACGAAACAAGTCAAAATCAAATTTCTTTATATACACACAGTTTAGATCAATAAATGAAATTTCTTCTTTTTTTAAGAGTCAACGCTTTCTCCGTTCCCGATTGATCTCTTTATTAGACCATTCAATACATATATACATGTCCAATGTTTTACATCTTGTACAGGTGAGGATCGATCTAACTGATAAAATGCATCAACTATGCACGCAAGCGTGAAGAAATGCGTGTTGCCAAGGTGCAGGACAAAACCCGTATCGTACATGTAATATAAGTGTACATCGGAAACAATTTTCTCTTATATTGGCTATACATTTTATTATACTAATTTACACATATGTATACGTCCACTTTCCCGCGATTAGACCCACGTTTACTTAACTGAACTGGAAGTGGATAAAAATTAAGGTCTTAAATAGGAATATGTACAATTTAAAATGGATATTTTCCAGCAAAGGTAATACACTGTGCTGAGTCATGTACAATATTTTTCAAAATGGATGAAATTCTAATCTTAGTTTCTGACAATATACCATCACAATTTACAGATTTTTATTAATCGTTTATGTTATTAATATAATAATAAAAACCACAATACATCAGTTAGTATAAATATGGTTTTAATAAAAAAAGAAAGAAGAAAAGAAATTTAAAGAAAAAGTTCAAAAATATTTATATTAAAAACAAATAGACTTATTATGTTAAATGATATTGGAGAGAGAGAGAGAGAGAGAGAGAGAGAGAGAGAGAGAGTGAGAGAGTGATGGGAATTACTGACATTTATAAGAAATTTTTTCAAATTAATTGTAAAGAGAATTAAAAATCCTTTTACGGAATTGAAGTAGATCTACATAAAATAAAGAGAAATGCGAGGCAGACAATTTTTATACTAAAAATGAAAAAAAAAAGATTTTTTCCTGTATTGCAATTTACATAATGTATGCGCGCGATATAGTCTAATATAGTAAATTATGAACCACAAATGAAGTGGTTAAGATTTGATAAAACTTGTAATGATGCTATCTCCTGCGTGAAAGCAGGATATAATATACTTACTTGCAAAAAAATATAGACTTCTATTTATATATTTTTTTGATATTATTATGCATATTACGAATTATTATATTACTCATTATTATATTACTATTTTTACGTAGAAAACGATATCACGATAGAAATAGACAAATTTTTCAATCATTGAACAGTAACGGAAAACCATTTTAAGATTCGTAGCGTCCCCCTTAGGTTTATCCTATGTATTTTCACTTCAAATGATTTTTCGTTATCTAAAAGCAGAGTATAAAATAATAATATACTCATCTGCAAAAAATGTTAATGTAACAACAGTGACCTACAAGATATAAGTCACTGTGGAATATATTTTTTTGCAAATGAGTATATTATTATTTTGTGAATGAATGTATCATTACTCTGTTCTCAGAGAAGTTCTCAGTTCGAAGATAAGCCATACAAAGGATTGTTAAATCTTCAGCATGGAAAGGTTATGAAAAACGATTTCAAGAGGAGATACATAGGATGAGCCTGAAATCCTATTAATATGAATCGATCGCTTTTACGCGGAGCCACATCTTATTCTGACATATATGATGATGCAGGATAATACTACGTTCAACACGAAATATTTTAACTGTAACACAATGTCGCACTGCTCGGCAATATAAACATTTAAGTACAAAGCATGCAAAATGTTTTAGTTATCAACATTTCAAGAATTATATATTTTTTGCAAGTGAGTATATAATAATAATAGGTTTGTTCGTGTTGCTTGTATTTTTTGCACTCGGCATCTTCGTTTTCTCTCTCTTCACGTCCAAATGTATATTTATCTTCTTTCAAGTGCAAAAATTTTGAGGGATTTCAAGCAACGCAATCAGACTTAATGTTATTAATTGTAATAATGTGACAGTATGACACTGTGTTTAACCTGTTGGAAAACACCCATAAATTAACATTTTGGCTGCCATATCATACGTATTTTCTTGTGAATTATGTTGCTTACGTAATGACTATTCTTTCATTTAATCTGTATTCGTTATTCCCTCTATAAATAATGTGACAGTCAAAATCGTAGGATATTTGTATCATAATAGGAAACATGATACTATGTTCTCTGGAGAATAAAAATTGCGAGGCGTTAGGAAAGAAATATAGGTGGGCGTTGGACCCGTTGGGACGGACGTTCTAAAAATTTTGATGGAATGTAAAATATAGGAACTTTGAAATTAGAGAAAAGAGATATATAAACGAACATAATTACAAGATGACCTTAAATTAATTAAATTAGCCACTTTCCGCATCGCGTGCAAGAAAGAGGAAATTCAGGGCAATTATAAGAAATATCTTACCTTACATCTCTGTGAGAATACTGTTGTGTTTGAGTCTACCATTTTCCTTATGTTACACTATGCTACACACGATTAATTGTAAAATTAAATTCGCTCCTCGGAGTCTTAGTTACATATTTTTTTGGTAGTTTTTACGCTACTAAGATACCGTGAAGACTCCTAAACCTTAAAAGTGACTCTAACATTGAGAATTAAAATTTTAAGTTATTAATATATAATACAAGCAGTGACAACTATAACATTATTACCGCAAGTATTACGCTGTTTAAACTCTGATGATTATATTAACGTGTTCGTGATATATCCAATTTTACAACGATTTCAACGGGCTTTAAATATACATTTTTAAATCTGTGTCAACAATTATAGATGGATCTTCGAAACAATAGCCGTTCGCGCCACTTTAAATATTCGATGCAAAAACAATGATTTCTCGCGTGTTATCGCGAGAACAGATCAACACGATTATATTACCATCAACATATAGAAATACAAAATACAGTGTTCGATAAGCTCAAGAATAATCTACGAGTACAAATTTACTATAATTAATTATATTTGTGATCAGAGATCGAAATGACTTGCAATTACTCTGACTCGCGATGACCACCGATCGCTTTCAGAATAATCACAGAACAGATTCGGGATTCTTAAATATGCTACGCGGATCTGTAACTTAGTTTGAAAGTGAAGACTCGCCGACTACTGTCGTCTCGTTTAATCTCATAAATAATCACACGTACTAGATTAATGCTAAGCGTACCGGAAGTCTGGCCTAATAGGATTTATGTCCCATTTATGCGTCCTATCTACTCTTTCGTCTCTCTTTTAGTGAGGATTTCTGGCCGGAATGGGCGGCCCACCGGTGGTTCTTGCTGGGACGGGTGGTGGAGCGTTCGATGGGGGTAGACTCGGTGGTGGGTGCTGCGGAGGCGGCGGGGCTTGTCTATGCGGCAATGGAGGAGGTACCGAGTTGGGCGGTGGTCTACTCAATGGTTCCTGAGGACCGTCCATACGTGGTAAAGGCGGTGGTGGTCGATTTGGTATGGGGTAGCTGGGCGATCCATCAAGTATTTCCTCGTATATAGCCGAATCCGGCGAAAGTCTCTCGTCTTGTCGATCATCCTCTATCGCATCCGCAACCGGTGGTGTTACCGGGCGCGCGAATTGGTTGGGAATCACGCTGAAGACACCCGCTCGTGGTATTTGCTTTCGCTCGTGAGCGGGACTCTTCGGTGGCTGGGAGGGTCGGCCCGGTGGTGCTGGTCTCGGAGGTGGGATCACGCCATTTGGGCTGCCTCTGCTGGGAGACGGTCGCTCAGCAATCTCCAATTGTTCCAATCGTTGCATGGGACTTCTCAATGGCGAGTCCGCCGTGAACTGAGCAATTGTAGTGTTGCTGCAGATTTCAATTTCCTTTTCGATCCGTTGTACCCAGTCAGGTGATTTTAGCGACAATTTTAATGTTTGACCGCACACCTGCGTCATGCCCTTCTTCGCCGCAGCCAGGGCGCACTGGCCATCCCTGAATGTCACCCAGATAGTCTCGCCGACGTAACGTACTAAAATTGCCTCGCCAATGTGAGATAGATCTTGTATCAGCGCGAACATAAGATTATTATCGAACACGCTATCCATATCCTCGATATCCTCCACCGCCTTGACTATTATCGTACCATCGGGAGGACCCAGATCTTGTATCACTTCTTTGAACACGCACTCACGCTTCTCGGGATCGACACAGT